GGCAAAGATCAAATACTGAAGTTAAGTGTTTTTAAAATACAAAGTGGTGCGACTCGCTCCCCTCAGATGCTGGATGAATGAGTGAACAAGAGGTCTGTCTCTGGAAAAACCGCGCCGTGGCTGCTGTGCCTGCCTTTAGCATGTCAGCTTCGGAGTGCAGGCTCCGAAACATAATTTCCATCTTTGCATCATAGGTTCAGGTTCCCTGTTCTAAAAGAGAAGGACCCTGTTTTCAGAAGCCCGAGACAGTCCAGGCTTTAAAATGGAGAAATGACTCTTTCAAACAAGCCTGAGTCTGAACCACTGTCCCACCTGCCCCCAGATAAGTCCAGAATTGTACAGGCTCTGCACATAGTGGGCCCTGTCGCTGGCGCTGCCCTGTCTTTCGTTCAATCTCATTTCTTCCTGCATGCACCTCCCACTAAGAGGAGGCAAACATGTGGACACAATCTCTTTTCTCTTGGCCTCTTATTTAGAAAGTGCCTGCTTTGGAGAATTTTTTTTTTTTTGAGACAAGGTCTCACTCTGTTGTCCAGGCTGGAGTGCACTGCTGCGCAGTCATAGCTCACTGCAACCTCCAGTTCCCAGGCTCAGGTGATCCTCCCACCTCAGCCTCCAAAGCAGCTGGGTCCACAGGTGTACACCACCACACCTGGCTAATTTCCTTCCCCCAATACAGACAGAGTCTCACTGTCTGGCCCAGGCTGGTCTCTAACTCCTGGCCTCCGCAGATCCTCCCGCCTTGACCTCCCAAAGCTCTGGGATTACAGGTGTGAGCCACTGCACCTGGCTTGCAAATCTTACTGCTACAGAATTATGTATTTCAGAGACAAATTTCCTCAATGTTTTCTCATACCATGTGTTACTTCACATAGACAGAGAAGTGTTTAATCAATATTACAAGGAGACATTTTATACATGTTAAGATTGGAAGAGTGTTTTTACCTGGTTCGTAGATGGTTTAATTTTGTTTTAATATTTTTCTTCTGGCCCAAGCCCAGTAATTTATTAAGAAGAACCATAGACCATGACTTGACCCATCGAGCCTGTCTGACTGGTTCTCTAATGCCTGAGCTACTTGGTGTCCACAAAGATGCTTCCTGCACCCTTCCCTTCCCCCACCTTCCTCACACCTGGCCTCCTTGCACCTGTGCAAATAGTGCTGCTTCCTGGAAATCAAAATAAATGGGAAACCCCTGTAATTTTGAGTTTTTTTTTTTAAATAAAGCTGCTCGATGTCAATCGATTGCATTCTAAATTTGGCGGAGTACTTTTTATCTTGAATTAGTGTCAAGACTCTCAAGCAGTTCTTTTAACAGTGAATTATTTGGAATAGGAATATTTATTTTTCTTGAATAGGCTGTTTATGAATGAACACAAGTTAGTTAAAAGCTTATTTTCTTACACTGTCTCCGGTGAAATGTAATTGCGATTAAACAGGAGGAAGGGGAGAAGCATGTGCATACACCGTGTGAGTTCTTATTCCTGAGAAAGAATGTTTCCATTGTTAGTTCCACACAAGTCAATTATCAAGAATTATGGTCGAATTCCAAATGCTTGGATGCTGGGGGATTTTATTTGATAAAAAAAAAGTCCAGGCTGTCTCTTTCCCTTTAGAGAAAATGATAATTACGGTGTCTTACCTAAGTCCTCAGCATCTCCTCACTTAGGGTTTCAGGAAATGCATAGAGACCACCCCTTAAACTTAAAAATTAACAGGATTTAGGTTATTCCATCTTTTCATCGAGAGTCGGAGACAGCTATTAATGGGCAGGCCCCTGTTTGAAACGGAGGCACCTGGGGCTCCTTGTGAACACTCTGCAGGTTCATGTTTTCTTCCTGGCTTTCCCTCTTTCTCGGGTGCCAAGCTGCCCAGCCCCAGCCAGCTGCGTGCTGTGAGAACAAGGCTGAGAGACCCTCCAGTGCCTTGAGGTGAGGAATGACTCCCATGCATTTTATTTTATTTTATTTTTCCCATTTATTTATTTAATTGCATTTTAGGTTTTGGGGTACATGTGAAGAACATGCAAGATTGTTGCATAGGTACACACGTGGCCGTGTGATTTGCTGCCTTCCTCCCCATCACTGACATCTGGCATCTCTCCCCTTGCTATCTCTCCCCAACTCCCCACCCCCCACCATCCCTCCCCTATTTCCCCCCAACTGACCCCAGTGTGTAGTGCTCCCCTCCCTGTGTCCATGTGTTCTCATTGTTCAACACCCGCCTATGAGTGAGAACATGCGGTGTTTGATCTTCTGCTCTTCTGTCAGTCTGCTGAGAATGATGGTTTCCAGGTTCATCCATGTCCCTACAAAGGACATGAGCTCATCATTTTTGATGGCTGCATAATATTCCATGGTGTATATATGCCACATTTTCCCTGTCCAGTCTATCATCGATGGGCATTTGGGTTGGTTCCAGGTCTTTGCTATTGTAAACTGTGATGCAATGAACATTCGTGTGCATGTGTCCTTATAGTAGAACGATTTATAATCCTTTGGATATATACCCAGTAATGGGATTTCCCATGCATTTTATAAGATCAACAGCCTCTCAGTGGGTGCAGGAACTCCCCAATGCACAGCACCTGAAGGTCCCGCCTCCCAGGAGCTGGCTGCCCCCCCCCCACCGCGCACCCCTCCACTGCTGGAAGGGCACACTCAATGCTTTTGGTGAAGTGAAAAATGTGTGTTGAGACTCATCAGTGGCAGAATTCAATTGAATGTATTTATGTGCCGGCTCTGCCTTTTTTCAGTAAAAGCACACATTTTTCCAAAACCCTGAAAGGCAATGATCTGTTTTCACTTGCCTCTTAGCTAAAATAAGCCTGAATGGTTTTAGCAGGTGATTTTATTCTCAGGAAAATTAGAGCATGCTGTTTGAAAGGGAACATCTTTGAAAAGTAGCTCCCTCTGAGACGGCAAAGCCCGTAACCTCTGGGTCCCGCTCGTCCGTCCCTTGGCTCCAGGCTTCATCCGCAAATCTGGGCAAGGACACCGCCAAGAAGCTTTGTGAACTCCAAAACACACGGGCTTACCTGTTCTGAGCCATACCTGCCGTGCGCACACGCAGCCACGGTCCTCAGGTCGGGAGCTCTGAGGACCCCGCCTGGATTTCTGGGGAGGGCTGGGGTTCCCACGGTCCATCCGCCCCTACAGCGTCTCCTGAGCGCTCCCTGCTTTGAGTCCAGCTTCAGCTTTTGGCTAATCTTTATTTTTCATTCTTTGTTCAGTGTGAAGTTTTTTTTTTTTTTTTTTTTAAGTATGTGTAACATTGGGCAAGTTATTTAAAGTAGATAAATTTTCATTCAAGAAATCACAGGTTATGATTATTTCCACTAAAATAAACCCAAATGATTTTAGCAGATGAGTTCATTCTCAGGAAAATTAGAGCATGTCAGTTATCAAGAATTATGGTTGAATTCCAAATGCCTGGCTGCTGGGGACTTTTTCACTGCCCATCAAGGTCACCGTAGTTCCTCCAAAGCTTGGGTCAAGATTTATCTTCAAGAGAGCAGAGCAGCCATTTTTAAAAGCACTGAGGCTTAACCCACAGTGGCACTGACAGCCCTAAGTGACAATAATATAAAAGTGAGTGTCAGTTCCAGGGCCAGCCTTGCTGAGTTAGCTCCCCTGACATAACCCTCCTGGTGAGCCGCAGCTGCAGAGGGTTAAACGTGGATGAGCTGGGCAAAGCTAACCATTAAACAGAGCCAGCTGGGATGCAGACTTCACGGGAGCAAGTTTTGTTTTTCTTAAGGAATGCAGCATGCTGAGTTGGCCGATTTCTTTTTTCTCTTCTACTGGTAAAGGAGCACGTTGATGAGTGTCCCAAAGCTTCTGCTGAACCTCGATCCCTTTCCCCCTGCCCAAACTGGAAGAGGTGATGGGTCATCGGAGCAGTGCTCTCTTTATCTCCACAAATGTCCCTGGGTGAACAATCTCCAATAGCCCCGCTCACGTGCACACAGTACTGCCATAGCTCATGCCCTGCAGCCACAGCTCTGCCTCCTCGTCCTTTTAGCACATTGTCTGTGCTCTGTGGATCAGGGAGAACACCCTATGGGGCAGGTGATGGCTTGGGGACTGAAGGCCCCCGGCAGCCCTGATTGTCCCCAAGCACAGGCGCTTCCTCTGTGTCACTTACAGCTTCACCTTGGTGTCTGGTGTTTTGCCTGGGCTGATGGAGGCCTGGACAGGACTAGTGGCTGGACACTGAAAAATACGAGGGGCCAACAAACCCTGATCAGAGGCTTCCCTGGGAGTCCTAGCGAGCTCGGAAGCACGTGTCAAGCTGTAAACCAGCAGAGGGGAGATCAGGGGCCTGGGGCCGCCGCCATAGGAACTGCAGGTGCACACGTCATTGGGCGGTCTCTATGGCCTGCAGAGAGCATTCCTGTGCCTTACGCATTTTCAGAGAAATACCTAAAAACTTCCTCTGGGTCATGAGTTCACTCATTCATTCAACAACCATTCAAAAAACAATAATCTAGTCCAATTGAGTGCACAGGAATGCGTTGGCAGAATGCAGATAAAATTGTGTAGTAGCATTTAAATCAGGAAGGTCCCCTCCCAGTTCCAGACAGTGGACATTCCTGACCCTTGTCACTTCCAAAAGAATGGTTCAGTGTGGTGGTGGATGTGGAGGCAAAGCAGTCAGTGAATTCACAGATTAAAAGGAAAACATTGCTACTCAGGCCACTGGGGTAAGTTAGACATGCGTGCATCCCCTTTAGAGATCAGCGATTCACATGTTGTTCTGTGTCAGATGGCCAATGTTGATGTAGAGAATCTCCAAATTATCTAGGCTTTTGAAACAGACAATGGCTTCGCATTTTCAGAGATGCGCGTGGTGCTTCCGGCAGGGGTAAGAACCGGGTGGCGTTTTTCCTCAAGGCTCTCTTCCCTGACCGGGAAGCTGGCCTGAGACAGCCTTCTGTTCTCTGCTGCTCCGAAGAATTGTCTTTAAATTTGTCTGGCTTCTTTTTTTCTCTTTCAAGTTTTTGAGAGTTGATCAAGACAAAGACAAGGATTGCAGCTTGGACTGTGCGGGCTCGCCCCAGAAACCTCTCTGCGCATCTGATGGCAGGACCTTCCTTTCCCGTTGTGAATTTCAACGTGCCAAGTGCAAAGACCCCCAACTAGAGATTGCATATCGAGGAAACTGCAGAGGTGAGCTGCTATTTGATGGTTCTTCCTAAGATGGGTAAATCCGTCCTCAAAATGAATGCAAACGCATTTTCATAGTTGTAATGTTTTACGTTTACAAACGAGTTTATGTTTGCATTTTTTTCACAGCATGTAAGGAAGAAGAGTAATTTCTATGCATTTTAAGAGCAGCATATTTTTTTACTTGTCTAATATTCTTTTCTTAGACTGTCTTATGCCATTATGAAAGAAATTTATCAAAATACTTCAGTTTTTTCCTGCTGTGCTGCGTATGGGGCACAGTAGGTTGGCAGGTAGACCCTCCAGTTCGAGCCCCTGGGAAGATGATTTTGTTATACATCTCAGGGCACAAGACAGAATGTTGCTGTGGAGCCAAACGTCCTGTTCTGGTTCTGCGGTCAGATGCCATTTCTAAAGTGCTTATCATATGATGGGGTTGTCCTCCCCACATGCTGCGGGAGTCATGAAGACTGGAGCAGAAGCCTACTCAGAGGGTCCTATGAGGTCTGACAGAAGAGGCCGAGAGGGAAGTGGTGGAGTCAGGCTGGCAGAGCTGAGTGCTGGGACCTGGACTTGCACTCACCTGTGGGAAATTGAAAGACACAGGAATTTGTGGGCAGAACAGGGATGCAAATTGCCGTTCTGCATGGCACATGCTTCCCTGAGCTCCCCAGGCTGCGCCCCCAGCGCCCACCTCGTGCCTTTGTCAAGCTGTGCCAGGCCCCAGCGTCACCAGCACGATTGCAACGAGTCTTGCTGTGTGGAAGCCCTGGAGTGCTTTAGAAAGGACCACAAATGGAAGGGGTGAGCTACTTTCAAAGGAAAAATGGAACTTTAATTCACTTATTAACCTCAATAGGCTGCTGGGATTGCAAGGAACAAAATGCAGTGAAAAAATATTTGATTCCTGCTTTACGTAAATGAAGTGCAGTGGCAGGATCGTACCTGAATCCCAGACACAGAGTTTAAAGATGCTGAAGTGAACTCAGTGGGACGGGTGTGGCAAGGACCACAGCATGTGGCCTAGTGTGGTTGCTGCCTGCTCACGGGACCCACCGCACACCTCAGGATCCATTGCAGAGAGCCGGGTTCTGGGCACGCACCTGTTTGAAACAGCTCTTGGGAACTCTAGAGAACCACTTTCTATAGCCTGAGGGAGCACCAGCCCCTTTCCAAAACAGCCAATAGCTGCAGGGTCAATGGGTAGCATGGGCGATGTTGCCACCCAAACACTGAGGAAATGACTCCGTCCAACGTTAGCTCAGAGAAAATAACAATGCTTGGAAAATGTGTTAAAGAGAAAGAACAATATATATAAATTTTTCTTTACCAGAAAAAAAGTTTGTTAAAACACAGATTTGAAATATCTTTCTATAAAAAAGTCCATAAAAGTAAGGATAACACCATTACAATGGAAAGCATTTGACATTCTTTCACTGAATTATATATGTACTTGTATGCACTATCTACATGAAAATCCCTGTTGAAACTTCGACTGCAGAAGCAGCAATACCTGCTCCAGCTTTCTTTGTGGTGGTAGGGAAAATAGAACATACCATTCAAAGTAAACGGTGTTTTGTAAATGACTGAATTTTTTCCTAAACACCTATTCTTATCTCAAGGAAAAGGAAAATAATTTGTTGGCTCGAATCTGTCTGAAGTTCTATAGATCTATATCATTAATTTGTCCTTATAGGTTTTTTTCTTTTCTCAGTAGACATTTAGGTTTCAGTAAATTGTATATGATTTTAGTTTTAATTCCTCTGGTGAAAACTTGGATGAAATATCTTAGATTCATTTAATGGGAGATGCACACACATATACACATACATACACACACACACATACACACATATATACACATACACATACGCACACATACACACACATACACAAACACACACACACACATACACACATATACACATACACATGCACACCTATACGCATACACATACACACACATACACACATATACACATACATACACACACACACATACACACATATATACACATACACATACACACGCACACATACACACAAACACATAAACACATACACATACACATACACACACATATACACATACACACACATATACACATACACATGCACACCTATATGCATACACATACATACACATACACACATATACACATACATACACACACACACACATACACATAAACTCTTAGTTTATTCAAGTGGACAACATCAGGCACGTCGCTTGCATAAAGAAACCAGCAGGCAGGCTTTGTGTGAGCAGGATGGCTGTTTATGCACCCGGGAGCGCGCAGGCGGAGTCAGAAAAGAGGGTCCACAGAGGGCAGTGGGAGAGGAGCTGGATTTACAGGTTGGGGCCATCGGTCACTTAAAGGTGGTGATCTGTCTTGGGAAGCGGAGGGCGTCACGGGATGCATGGTCACAAGGGTAGGGCTCATGTATTACAAACAGGCGTGATCATAAGGGTGGGGGTATCGGTTGCAAGCAGAAGGGAGGGTGCGGTAAATTACACAGTTACGGGGGCGGGGACTTGAGAAACCCAGTGTCCAGGGGAAATTCCACAAGGCTGAGCAGGAACAGCGGTTGCAGGTTGCAGGGGGAGAGCAATTAGTTGAGGCAGAACAAGTTGTTTCACTTCTCTTTGTGGTCGCCTGGTGACTTGTGGTTACTTCAGGTTCCTGGCTCCTGGGGACCATCCTGAGGTGTGCGTGCGGGTCACCAAGGCTATGATGACCAGGCTTGGACTCGGAGGCCTGACAGACAACTGATACTTCCTGTGCAGCATTGTTCTATGTGATTCTAAGTTTTATGATTGATTCGCTTCAACCTGTTTCTTTTAAGAAGTTCTGACATTGACTGGATATTAATACATTTGGTAACCTGATGTTTTCTTCCTACTGAATGATTCCTTGAAGAGAACTGAGGCTGAGAGTGAGTCCGCGCTATTCTCTGTGAGATAACGTCTCAGGGAGCTCATCTCTCTTCATGTGATTCAGTTCAGCAGTGGGTGCCCCAAAACTCACGACTCCATAAGAATCTTTGTTCCTGGCAGCATCCAGTGGATGGGAACTGACCGGCCTGCTTCTAGCGCCGGAAATGGCTTCACGTGAGAATTTCAATAGGACCCCAGACACTCCCAACACCCAGCCTGTCTTCAGACCTTCCTATGAGGTAGATGGCTGGGGCAGGAGACCTCCCTCCACACAAGGGACAGGCATGGGGCACATGTTCGGGTGCACAGGGGGCCCTCAGGGGCTTCTCCAGAGTCTGGTGGTGCTTACTTCATGGGGTCATAAACACAGGACCCCGAAGTGCTGATCCCACCTGGCTTCCCTAGCCGGCCCCAGTGCTACAAATTGTTTACTCTGCATCTGAGAAAGAACAAGTCAGTCTGTTTCTTTGGAGATGAACTATTTGAAGAAGCATCTTCCAGACTCAAGAACACACCCCCCCAAGAACAGTGTGTTTTTCTCCACATTTTGTCCTTCTACCACGGACACGCTGCTGCTACAGCCCCTGCATCGTTGGCCAGGAAGGACAGTGGTGCCCTGGACGGTAGTCCTGGGATTAACAGGTCTTCCAGCATGCTTCACCTGGGAAATCACACGCCCGTGGGTTATGGGAAGTCGGCGCGAAGCCAGGAGTGTGGGTTGAAGGAAGCATGTTCTTCTCGCCTTTGTGTGTGACTGCTGTGTGTGAGACACTGCAGAAACACTCAGATGTGAATTCACGCCTTGGCTGAGTTATACATCTCAGCTGTGTGTGCTCAGAAGAGAAACAATTTAAGAATAAATTTAAAACCAGATGATGCACTCTTCAACGAAGCGATAGACTGTGAAGGCTTCAAGTGCGGTAGAAGTGGGGAGCCCACAGCACCTCATTAAACCTGGAGTTTTATCTTCCTGTTTCTTGCCCTGTTCCCTTACATAAGCCCCGTCAGATATTCTGCTGAAAGGGCGCGAGGAAGCCTCTGCTTTAGCCGTAGACTCTGAGGAGGAGCCTGTGAGGGATTTTGTAGACACTCTGGGTGGCAACTCTACACCTGCTGCTCCCTCTGGCTCGTGGGTTTTCAGGTGTCTCCCCAGCATCTGACTTCAGGCCTTTGCCATACCCAGCTGCAGGGTCAAAGTGAGGTTCTCTTTGGGCAGGGAGGACAAATGTCAGTTAAACACAGGTGTCATTTTTGGTAGTATTTGTTAGTTTATTTGTACCCTCATCTCAGCTAATTTTTCTGGATGATTATTTCAGTGGGAATTCTCCTGTGTTACTGAAGAACTTTTACACCGTAAACTTATGATGCAAAAATATGATAAGGGAGAAGCAGGCAGAAATAAAATGAACCTCACCAAAGTGAGTCTCACTTCATCTGAAAAGGTTCTATTGGAAAGAATGCACCTGGAGTCTCCAAAATCTCACGTGTGTGGTGCTGTAGCTGCCAAGGCAGCAAACATCAAAATCAGTCTGAGGAAATACTGCTCAGCGTGATTCTAGATCTTGAAATAACTGGGTGCCCTGCTTCTCCGGTAGTCTAGATTTGGCATGGGGGCTGGGACTCAGAGAGGCTCCATCTGCTTTTCGTCCATGTGTGGCCTCGAGTTAAGTCTGTTCCCTGCTGGGGGCTGCCTTAGAAAGGGGCTCCCCCCTCCCATCTGCAGTTGGAGTTTTCCTAAAGAGGCAGCCTTGCACCTGCATCCTGGCTCACGGCAGAAGCCTGAGGGGCTGGGCCATGCTGTCAGTCACCCATCCCAGCATCCAGCCTGTCCCCGCGCTGCAAATGCAGCAACAGAGGCTCCAGGGGACCAGGAGCAAAACACACTGAGCCTAGGACAGGTGAGAACAGACACGGGGCTCGGTGTCACTGAGCAAATTGTGCTTCTGTTTCCCTCTAAGAGTGCAGAGATTGCAAATTCCATAACAAAACCCAGGTTGAGAACTTTCCTCCCCGAAGGTAAAAGAGGGAGCCCAGGATATTCCCTTTAGATCATTTGTGTAATACG